CACACAGAGAGAGAGAGAGAGAGAGCGAGAGAGAGAGAGAGAGAGAGAGAGAGAGAGAGGCATTAAATTCTTAGAGATATTGTCTCTCAGAAATATAATTATTTTTTCTGAATCTTCTATTGCCTCATTTATTTTGGTACTACTTTGTTTTTTTTTCTGAATGTCTCATGAAATTGCCTCATATGCATAGTGGCTGTAAATGTTTCATCTTGTTTGAGAGTAAATTCATGTAAGTATTTTTCTTTTGTATTATTTGGAATTTTATGAGAGCTACTATGAATGACTTGCCTACACATGTATAACTACTGCTCAGTTGTTTATATGGTGAATATAATCTGTCATCTTGATATCTGTGTTTTACCCTTTAAAACATGTCTTTGGTGCACCACAATTAACAGTTTTACCGTGCTTAGATTTATTAACACTCTTTTTTATCCTCAGTAGTTTCACATCTTAAGAAATCTGTCTAGTTCAGAAAGCCCCTTTTTTTACATCTATATCTTATAGGGTACCACCTATATTTTCTTCTAGTAGTTTTAGTGCTTCAGGTTTCAAATTGAGGTCTTGATCTACTTAGATTTAATTTTGTTAAAGGTAGCACGAATGGGTCTAATTTTATTCTTCTGCATCAGTGCAACCAGTTTTCTCAATAGCATTTGCTAAAGATGCCCTTTTTCTCCTTTTTCTGCATTTCCTTTGTCCACTCTATCAGATGTCTATAGTTACCAAGGACTCATGTTTGAGCCTTTTATTTTATTCCATTGATTTACTTGTCAGTTTTGAGACAGTGTTGTATTGTTCTATTACTCTAACTCTATAATACATCTTGAAGTCTGGGATAGCAACTGCTCCAATATTCTTTTTACTCAAGATTGCTTTGCCTATCTGGAATATTTTCTGGTTCCACAAAAATCTGAGGATTTAAAACTATATTTCCCTTAAGAATGTTTTGAGTATTTTGATTAGGATTGCATTTGATTAGTCAATTGCTTTTGGGAGGAAGGCAATTTTACAATATTGATTCTATCTTTTCAAAGAATCAAGACCAACAATCAACAACTATGATTTTGTACAACTTAAAAGCTCTATATACCTAAGGAAAGAATCAATAGACTGATGAAGAAATCCACAAAATGAGATAGACCCTGATAGCTATACAACTGACATAGGAATAATAAACAGAATATATAGAGAGCAAACAACAACAAAAACAACAACAACAACAAGGAAAAACACAAGAACAAGACCAAAACAATAACAATGCTAATGAACATATTAATGTGGAAGAGGGTAGTTTTTGAGCAGCTTCATCTTTGACAATAAACTAAAGCTTTGATAACTCCCTTCACTGATAACTGCATGGAAAAGTGGAATTAGCCGCTTCTAGATGTGAATCCCCTTATTGCTTGACCAGGGCAGAATCATCAGCCTGAAACCACACACACACACACACACACACACACACACACACACACACACACAC